ACTGTTAAACTGTGGTCTACTCTTGTAGGACACCCTTTTATCGATCTGGAAAACTCTGGTCCACTCCTGTAGGACACTCTTGTTGGACACACTTTGTGGAAAACTCTGGTCCACTCTTGTAGGACACTCTTGTCACACACCCTTGACATTCTTGTGGAAACAGAGGTGGCTGCCTGACTGTTTGACATGGTGTTTGCACTTGCAAGCAGTTGGATGAGAGTTGCACCATGCACCATGCACTGCGTGAACCTTGGGCTTAGTGTCTCTTGTTGTTTGCAAGCGGCCTACGCTTGAGATGCCGAACGCTTCTCTTTAAAGGCATTCACTTGCTTGGACGTCATGATCGATAAATGCTTCCATGTTGGCGCAGGTCCTGACTCCAAGCAAGGATTTGAATCTTGCTCACTGGGCCAGCTGACCCAGGGCTCTGAGAGGATGTGCTGTAAGGCTTCTAGATGCCTGCCTGCTACCTGTTCTCCGATTGGTGCAGTATCTTGTAGCACCGGAGGTCATAGATCTTCGATCAAGCGACACACTGTGTTAGACAGTGTGATGTGAGACTTCTTCACTTGGGTCTCATGCTGTAGTATATCCTCCGCGAGTTTGAGAACCCTGCATCTGTGAGGATTCATAGCTGCTGCCGCGATTCTTTTTGGCGATGGGAGATGCCGGATCCATGGATTTGATCTCCTGGCTGTGGCTGTCCCGCAATGGACCCTGTTGCTAGCCACAGCTAGCATAGCGGCCGTAGGGAATGGATGTCAGTACTGGGATCGGCGCATCGTAGATTTTCCCACTGTACTTGTCCTTCTGTATGCCACCTCTTTTGTCCGAGTGCAGCAGGACAACCAGCTGCAAGTAGTACACCAGCCTTGAGCTGCAAGGTGACTTGTGTTCCATCACTCAAGGACCTCATCGCCGAAAGAAGATGTGGCTCCAGCTTCTGCTCGTTTTGCTCACCTTGTCTTCGCACAAGAACTCAGACTCGGTGTTGCTGTCCTTGCTGACAGTTCGTCGCACAGTGATGAGCAGGCTTCGTCCATCTCAAGGTCTTGCTCCAGTTTCCGACAGGGACACATGTCCGACAGAGTGCCGTTAGTGCATCAAAAATACCATTCCACGAACTGTCCACGAACAGCCTTGGGTTCTACGAAGGTCAACCGCCTTCCACGACGTTAGTATAGCAAAACCCTTTCTGTGCACTACCCTTCCGTTTGCCTTTGAAGAATATAGATGGGTCAGTTTGGTGCCATTGACCTATAAAACACCAACTAGGCCTCCTCTCAGGCTATGGGTTATACCATTCTGATATCTGCCATAAGACCAGGGTGGGATATCCCAGAGACCAACGTATCGACCGATCTCCTGCCACATCCCACAGCTGTCTCCTATCCTGCCTCTCACTTTCGCTCGCGGCCTTTCCTGGTGAGGCTGCGCTTGTGGACGTGGCCAAATGCTGGAAGCTGTGCAACCCTGATGATGATGTGGAGGACTGGTTGGTGTTGAAGATGTGAACTACACCCCTGCAAGACCAAACCCTCCAAATTAAAACTCCTTCTTGAGATTTGAAAACGTGCTAGAAGTACTAGGCCCCAAGTGCCAAACACACAGAGGCAAATGCAATCTAGTATCTTGGATTGGATCTTGACTCCTCCCCCCACGATTCTTGCCCACCATCATGTTGGCAGTCTTTGTGACTATCCAGGAATGGGCCAAAAAGGAAGGTGACTTCCACCGACACTTGGCCACACATGTGGGGGAATGTGTGCAGTAATTGGAGCAGTGGGTGTTGGATGGTCTTGCAGGACCTGAGCCTGGACCCTGATTGAGGTGACCCCAACCCAGGTGGTTGCCAAGTAGCACTATGTCCTGATCCGAACAAATGAGTTCTGTGACCAATCACAGTTTGTGAGCTCATGACCCTTGATGTCGGCTCGACTTCGTTGCGTGACGTCGGTTCGATTCGACCCGAATGGAGCAGGGTTCACTTTTGGATCTAGAACCTGTTTCGGTCCACTTGGAAGTGTGACCCCCAAAGTTTTCTTGGGTCTGTTAACCCTCCATCAAGCATAGACATGTGATCACTGAGCTATATAGCTCAACTGGATCCACCACATTTCCTGGTGATTCAGACCCTCCTGCAACTCCCACATTTTACGTATCCTCATGTCTGACTGTCCTGGATTGTCCTGGATTGGCCCTGGTTGACCCATCTTCCAGACCCTTCTGGACCCTGACCCACCCACAACCACGTCAGCCTGTCTGGACCGTCCTGGATTGGCCCTGGTTGACCCATCTTCCAGACCCTTCTGGACCCTGACCCACCCACAACCACGTCAGCCTGTCTGGACCGTCCTGGATTGGCCCTGGTTGACCCATCTTCCAGACCCTTCTGGACCCTGACCCACCCACAACCACGTCAGCCTGTCTGGACCGTCCTGGATTGGCCCTGGTTGACCCATCTTCCAGACCCTTCTGGACCCTGACCCACCCACAACCAGGTCAGCCCCTTTGAAGAGGTCTAGGGTGGAAAGTGCTGGTAGGGTTACTGGCTTGTTCTGGTGTCATTGCAATTAAGGAGCACTACATTCCTATGTCTCCAGAAGATATCGCGTGAGTGGAAGGCGGGCTTGGGTATGACCTCTGACAGATTGTTGGTGAGAACCTCTGACAGTTGAATCTTATTTTTTAGAATCCTTCATGACATAGGACTCCGTGACATGTAGGGTATTGGAGGTATTGTTCACAGATTTCACCCTAGGCACGTCGACAAATCAGGTCCTTGACCTGTAGGGCCCCTTCCATGCCTCCAGGGCATCAAGGCCTTGGCCATTGGGAGCATCACATTGCACCACTCACTCAAGTATCTGTGAAGAAGAGGGATAAGGGTATATTACTTATACTCCCAATTAATATCTCACAGACTACAGTCAGTGCTGAAAGGACTTCGCAATAGGGAGGCCTCTCAAAGACTCCCTAAATGCAGGAAATCTGACCAAAATCCCTTTGTTCAGGGTCCAACTATGCAAAATCCAGATCGACATGGATTCCTGTCAAACTCCATTGGATCTTGCAATTTTTGGACCCTCCCCTTCCTTGCCCCTTCCTGTGTCTCCAGGTTTCCACACTTGACTCCCTGTGGACCTGTGCGCAGGCCAGACGGTGGATCCAAGAGGATGCAACAGCTCAAGGAGGCTTTGATAGCCCAGGTGCTGGGCTGGCATCTTTCTGGGGGTTGTGGGAAGCTGGATTGTCATGCCAGGAAACCTGGCAAAATTGTGGCCCTCCTACACCACCAGGTGAGGGTCTCAGGATGTCTCAGGTGTTGAGAGCCTGAATTCCCTACAGGTCTAAGGCATATTCAAAATCCTAGCACATGAACCTGAATTCCCTACAGGTATAAGTCATCACTGGGACTTTGGACCTGTAGGGGTAGTGTCCTTGCTCCTAGTAGAGATGTCCTTTGGTCAGGGTAGACCACCTCCACCTAGACAGGTCCATATTGGACTCACCTGCTTCAGGACCGAACACTGGGCAAGTGGCTTCAGGCGGAGATCCAGGCTGGCAACCGCATGTGGCCAGATGACCCCTTGCTGGTGGTGAATCCACTGGCTTCGTCACTTAGTCTTCAAAATGAATTTGCCAGCTGGGGCTGGTTAGACCCCCAAAACCCATCCCAACCACCTTCTCAGGAGGTGGGCCAGGAGCCCTAGGGGATGGTCCACAGACCTTTGGATGGAGCCAGAGAAAGTTCCGGTGACTGTTCCAATTAGCTGGTTGATCATATGGCACCACGAGACCCTGCTTTGGGTTTCGACCATCCGGTCTGTTCCTGAGATGATGTTGCCAACCTCATTCCCTCCTTGCCCAAGGCAAGCTCTTTGTGAGTGGTTTGGCCTTTGTGAGAGATCTGGACGGTTCTTGCACCATAGCCTGAAGTGGTGGGGGGGGTGGCAGGACATGTTCAGTTCCAATGTTCTTTCACTGATTGGGTGGCCTTTTTGGGTGATGTTAAAAACTTCCATTCAAGCACACCAAATAGCAGGTGGCTAAGCCAAGAACTGTGGTAGGATGTGGTAGGCATTGTCTTCAAAGATTCAAGAGCACACATGTAGGCATCAATGATGCCAGAACTTATCAGAGATCACTTTGATTGCTCAGGACGCAGGATCAGGCTGATGCCATCCACAGTGCTGGGAAGCGCTTTCTGCACCACCACCTCAGCTGCCTCAAAATAGCCAGCAGGATCTCCGTTGAGGGGGGGCGTCGAATTTTCCTTTATCTTAAAGACTTCAACGGCCCCTTGAGACCTGAAGGGCCATTTGAGACCTCAAGGTCCCTTCGCCATTGTTGAGTCAGTTGTGAGGATGGGGCTGCAGTGCTGGTTCTTGAAGCCAAAGGCGCACATGTTCTGCCACGTTTTGGCTCGCACCAAGAGAGAGCGATTCTTGGCTGAGTGTGTCTTTGGATGACATTGACTGGTCTTTCCTCTAGAGGAGAACTTGATTTGCAGGTTTGAGCTGGTAATTCCAGGTTCAAAGAGGCTTCACTGGTCTTTTGGGAAGAGGTTTCTGTGGTCTTTTGGGTCAATTAACCTGTTCTTCTATCCCTGGACTTGAGCATCTCAGGACTGAACTCGAGGTTCTCGCATTGCTTCTCAGAAGAAGACACCATCGGGATGATCAAGAAGCTGTCATGTGCAATCTCTGGCAGACACATGGAAAAGTTCCTGGCCAAGATTGCGAGGCTCCGCTTGAAGTGTGCAAAGGCACGCATGCGCAGGACAGTTTGGCTCTCTGATTGCATAGTACCATTCAGGTTGGTTACTCATTCTGCAGCATCTTCTTGTTGTGAATTTGGATGGCATGCGGCCAAGCCAAGAACCGCAGCTAGGAACCAAGAATTAGCAGTTGGATGGCAAGTGGCTAAGCCAAAAACCGTGCTAGCATTGCTAGCATGAATGGAACTGGACTTGCTCCAAAATTGTTTTCCAGGATCGATATGGATCTGGTGTGGCGACGATGACATGGCAAGGACTGGCAGTTTTAGCATCTTCTGATGGCAAGCGGCTAAGCCAAGAACCGCAGCTAGGACTATAGAATATGCAGTGAACATGTGAAGGTTCACATACAACATCACACCAGGAGGTAACGTAACGTGATTTAATGAATTTGGCTACTGTTTTGAGATGTTTTGAGTGTTTTTTCATCGATTTGTGCAGGATCTATGTGGGCTCTGGTGGCGACGCCAGTGTGGTCATGACAAAAGGGCGGTTCTTCCGACAAACGCGATGACCTCGTAAAACTTGATCGTTCTCAGATGACTTCGTTAAACTTGCACTTCGGACTTGCAGGGTATATAAGCTTATTATTTGTTATTTTTCAAGGTACTTTAAAGACTCCAGGTCCACTGGATTCCACACGCCAACGGAACAGTATCGAAAGGTCTTCTTTGTTTTCGGGCCGGGTCTTGTGGGAACAAACATTCTCACATTCCCCAAAAGAATACTGAAACATGAGAAGCCATGAGCCCACAGGGTTCCTTTGCATGCGTGCACACAGTGGGTATATACTCCAATTTCACTGATGCGCCCTGCTCCCCAGCTGGGCACTTCAGTGATCTTCATAGATTCGTGATCTTCCAGTTTCAACTTAAGGTCTATGATGTCTATGCACCATCACTCCACCCCGGCATCACCTCGACCGCGAACGGTTCGCGCGCGAACCACGTCCAGGAACCTCGTCCGTCCGACCTCCGATCGACCGCGGAGCCGGCGTCTCCTCGGGGACCCAGCGCTCGGTGGGCTGCGGCGGAATGAGCCCGGCGCCTTCCAGCAGCTTCCGCACGTCTGGCGGGTTCTTCGCACCCAAAGGCCCCACGCGGTGCCGGTTTCGGTGAGCCGCGGGCACGCGTGCGTGAGCCGCGGTCCTGGTGCACATGGAGCTGTGGGGAGTGCCAGTCGAAGCCACGAACGAGTCACAAAGGCGGCTCAATACATGTGTTCCGGCCAAAGGATGGCTAGTCATGGCTAGTCGATCCCTATATATGTGTCAGGGAAATGGCCCAAAACTCCAGTAGCTGTTCACCACTGGATGCCTGGAGTCCTGGAAGGGCCTACAAAGCCAACCGGCAAGCAAAGCGTCACCAGCAAAGCCGCGGTGCATGTGGCCGTCCGCTTGGCCATAGCGACGATGAATTAAAACATCGGGAAGAAGGTCTTTAAGGTTCTGCGTTGTTTGGGTGGATGCTCTTGAAACGATCTGCATGGCAACTTTCTTCAAGAGGTCATGCACATATGCAGAACTGTTGAGGTTTGATCTGTCTGCTAGTACCGGCTCCTGCTACATTCAAGACTAAAGCTATGCAAAGCACTCTGATCTCAGTTTCAACATAGATTAGAGTCTTAGAGCTGCTGCTGAACCCCCTCGGAAGGCTAACACAAAAATTGTAAAGGCCGACAAGCATTTCGTGGGTCGTTTCATTTCAGTCCCAACTCTGGAGCTCTTCGTTTCAGCTCGTTTCTTCAACCCAAAATCCGCGCGGCCAAAAGCGAACGAAGCCAGTGACGCCAGGATTGGTGAGTTGTGAGCTGATTGAAATCTTAAATTTTGAGTGTATAATATATAATTAAACTTGATCAACACTGACATCAAGGTTCTCTGACCTTGAAGCCATGATCAGCCATAGGGCTGAAGTAAAAGGCATTGTCAAACCATGTTAAACCCGTGTGGTGTACACCAACCGCGTGGTGTTCACTCTCCAGTGCACAGGGTTTAGGGTTCTTACTAAGAAGCCTTCGACTCGAAGAATCGGCCATAAGGCCGTGCCCAGGACTTCGAAAGCATCCACATCTGATGACGCACTCTACCCATCTCTATCCAAATCATTGTGAGTGCAAACCAAGTTACGGACATGCATTTGACCCCACCAAGTACAAGTGCCCCAGATCAAGCTAAGGAAGCATCGCCATTATAAATTGTATTCTGGCTGTTAGTAGCGGTGGCCTCCAACCTACTAGCGATGGCCTCCAGCCTATTATCTGTTTAATTTTCCAGTTCCATGTTCCTCCCCCCCATCGACTTCCCACTTCTACCATCTTCTACCCGCCTCGGCGCCCGTGGCGGACGACCATACATCGTCTGCCGCTCCATCGCCGGCCGCTCGCGCAGCGCGGGCACGCCTTAAGGGGCACGCTTCGGCGAGCAACAGCTGCGTCTGAGGGATTTGGTTCAACTCTGAGAGTTTTCTTTTGAAGTTCAATATCCTTAACTTCAAAATCTGAGAGTGTTTGTTTGTTCTTTTCTTTTTGATCATTTAGAAGAGACGAGAGTTTGGGGGGCTGCCCAAACCTCAAGTCTTTTTGTTGTGTGTGTTTGCTTTTTGAATGATGGCTGAATGGATGATGGGGTCTGGGTCGGTCAATGCTCTGTTGATCTCTTTTGTTTATTTAAATTTAGAATTTAGTATTTTTCAATGTTCGTGGTGTTGGGAGCGTAGCCTCCTTGGTGAGATCGTGATCGTTTTTGGCTAAAACCCAAGAAACATCACAGAGGTAGATAGAGAGTTTGGATGGGGGGGTGATGTTGAAACAGCAAGTGCGACACAAATCGCATCAGAACTCACCAAAAAAACACTTCTGCACTGGAGGCGATGATCAAGCCAGACCATCGAACTAAGGATCCTACAAAATCAGGGTCCACATGTCCATCTATAGCATAGAGACATAGATGCATAATAACAGCGACACACATTTACCCCATGTATGAGCCTAAGTAACAATGGAGTGTCTGGGTTTGGACGTCTCCATGCACATGCAGCGTGTCTCGCGTGTCGTGCGAGACTGGGCCCAGGTGCTGCAGCCGCGCGGGGGCGGTTTCTTCGCCGGGGAGGGTGACAACACGTTGGAGATGTCGCGAGAGACCTGTCTGCGGGGGGTTCGATGAGACGAAAAGCCTGCCTTCGTCAAAGGCACATAAATAGTCATGGGGGATGCAAAAGTGAGTGTCCTTTACTTTCAGTAACGGGAAGTGTAGTCTTCGGACCACGTGTACAGACTGTGGAAGCCATGAAAACTTTGTCCCTGTGCTTTCAAAGGCAAGAGTTTGCGCACCGAGTCGGTATTTAGCTCAGAGATGTTGATATAAAGGGATTTTCTGTTTGGGGGACGCCTTCTAGATGCAGGGAGAGGGAGAGGACAGGGTTAGTCATCAGCTGTAAGGAATAGGGCCAAGGCTTCTAACAAGGTTTCCGCGCGCGCGTGGGTGGATGTGCGACCGTGCATGCCTCTCTGTTCATGCTTTTGTTTTTGGAGACGGCCGATCATGGGAACACTAGGTGTGATCTCAAGTGCAAGCTGGTGCAAGCATGAAACATCAAACATGACGAACAATAGACAAAATCAGTCTCAAAAAAAGGAAAAAACACATGGACCACGCATCTCTCACGCATCTCATCTCCCCCCACCAAAACGATGCCTCCAAGTTCACCTTCCGGGGCTCTTCTGGCTTGGCGGCCTCCTGCGACGAAGGACGCCCCGCCGTGACGGTAGACCGTGGTTTTAAACACATCGTTGGCCGGCGTTGGTAGTGTAAAATCGATTACTTTAATGTAAAACAATGGTTCTTTGGCACAAACCGTTGAAAGAATGGTCGTTGGATGTTGTTGAGGATCCAAGGGTGTACTGAACTCATGAAGCTCCTTCCCCTACATCCACTGGCCATGAGCAAGCTCTCTCATACCGTCCTTCAAGCAGCCCCTGAAACCTTGTGTTCCAAAGTGGCCCCAATTTCATCGTGGACCACACATGAACATCATGAATCATGAGATATCATGAGTCACATTTCTTAGAAGTTCCCGATCATCCTTAACAACAAAAAGCTATTGTATAACTCCATCATACTCGATCTGCAGTTGCAAAGGAATGCTTTTGAGTCCCATTCATATAGTAAGACGATCATGGGCACCATTACTCAAGACAGGCGGCACCCCGACATGGAACTCCATCGTCCGCTGCGCTGCCCTGCGCTACCTCACCTCCGTGCGCTTTCGGTGCTTCGGACCGGGAACACATCTCATGGGGTCGACGGTCTGTCCCTGCTCCGGTGGCGGTCGGTGCCGCCCGTCGCGGCAGGTCGATCCAGTGTCCTCCAGCTCGCTGAGCATCAGCGTGGCGGAGTTCAGATCATTGACCGCCTGGCGGTTACGCGGTGGTTACGGACCGCCGAGAGAGCGAGATCTTGGGGATACAGTGCCAGAATGGGGATACAGTGGTGTCAGAGTAGGCAGAAACCCGAAGACGTCTTAGCATAGATGGGGATCCATCAAAACCACCGAACTTGGGGATTGTGCCATCTATTCTGAAACCACTATAGATATTTTGATATGTTTGAGGCCAGAAAAGGCGGCTATATATACATCTATAGTTAGAAGGCGAGTACTGGTTCGAAGGGTTCCGGAAGCAGGTCAAAAGGGTCTCCATTGGAGACCTGTCAGGCAGCAAACTGGGATGTTCAAACCGCAGGTCTCACCTCTGGCCAACCTCATCAGCATATAGTTATAGCATGAATGAAAAGAATGAAAGAGTAGCGAAACAACTTCCACCAACTCCTATACAAGTAAAATGTATGTATAATTTAAAAGGTAGACAAGAAAATACGATAGCACCTGGAACACGGCATGAGGCATGAAAAAGAGCGAACTCCTCCCACTCTCCGTTCCTCTGTTCCTCCAAAACCACCAACCACCGCCCCCTGTGCCTTGATGCGATCCCCAGGCTTCACGGCCAGGCTACAGTGCTTCTCCTCCTCACCTCGATCCGCCTGGCCGAAAACGCGAGCCGGTGGTTCGGCGCCTATGATGACGCCAGAAACACCACGGCGGTGGTCAGAGCCGGGTCATCACCCAGGATACTTGGTGGAAAGGTCATAGGGTATACCTCTTCAGGTCGGGCCCTAGGATCCAGAGAAGCCACGAGTCAATTTCAGGGCTTCACCACGTCCCGGCCGACTGCCGACTGCCTACAAGCTGTAAGCGATTTGGGTGTGTGTGTGTGCTTTTATGGCCGCATGGAGGATCAGGGGCCATGCTAGCCTAGAGCCAATCTAATCCAGTGACGTGGTACTCTTTCAACATACTTCCATCATCTTCTAAGCTCGCCCGCGCTTCTTTTGCTCTTCCTTTCCTCAGAAGAAGGAGGGCTCAAAGCCAGTGGTCCCTTGCGCAAGGACGCGCCACGAACGCAAAGTCTCGACCAAGGAATCCTGGTTGAAGCGAGCCATTTCCTGTGTGATCCTGATGGCACCGGAACAAGCCGCACAATGGTCTGAACCCTGGCGATTTGCAAAACTGATGTGTGAAGCACGCTCGAAAAGGGCCCAAGGACGTCAATGCTAGCCTACCTTCCCGCAAACATCCGCAAACATCCGCAAACTCATCGGTCGTGAATTTGAGATTCTTTCGTGGCAGTGATTTTCAGCATGGGGATCTTTACTGGATTTGTGCTGAGCCATCAGTCTGGGCTTTAAATAAATGCACCTACCTACCCCTTTTCCCATGAAAGTGCTCTCGACGACTCAAGAAGCCAAGCACTTTCGGAGCGGCTCCGGATCCCGGCTCAGCCAGCCAAGGCCAACAGCCAGCCAAGGCTCTCAAAGAAGTCCACCTTCAACAACATCTCCAACAAAGCCTCAAACGGTCCCAACCACTTGCGGGAGCAAAGCATTGAGACCCTGGACCCAAACACAATGCTAAACACACATCCGAGTGAGGAGTCACTCTCCCAAAACCGGGCTCCAGGGCCAGATTGGACCCCACCTGGTGGAATTCAATGGGACCTGAACACGCTTGGACAAAAGGCTGTTGCATCCTCAAGCCTGGGAACCAGTATAAAAAGCTGTCCATGGTGCCAAACAAGGCGCTGTGACTGGACTCTCCTTCGCAAGATGGGCCTCTTGCTTTTTTGGGAGAGTTTGCATCGAAGCCACTTGGTTACAATTGGGACTTTGGACTTTAAGGTTCTTTGTGAAGACATCCATAGAACTGGAGGATCCGAAACGACAGAAGCTTGGATTGGGAGCTTCTTCAACTCCGTGTTGTCCAATGAGGCCCCGTCCGCCCCTCCGTGTGTTCCGTGGGCCGGGTCAACCCCAAGGAACCACAGAAGGATTAGTTTTTGACATGTATTTGAACAATTCAACTTACTCATGTTTTTTTCTTGGAACCCTTGGTCTTGCGTCTTGCGATTAAGTACCCCCTCTGGTATTTTCCCTTGGTTTACCAGCCTCCTTTTCACATCGTTTCACGATTAAGTACCCCCCTCATATCGACGATCGTAGTCCTCTTGGAAGCGCTTCCCTCGGCTCTATACAACAAGCTCCGTCCCTCGGCCCCAGCCCTGGAGACGGCAGACGGCTGAACTGCACCAAGCTGCGGGGATGGAGTCGAAGTGCTGCACTTCCGGAAATCGGAAGTAGTCCTAAGTCACAAAGACGAGCCTTGTAGGATTCAAGAGCCAAGCAATCCTGGCAACCACATGGTTGATGAGTTGATGAACGTGTTCGTCGGAGAAGGTTATTGTCCTGTGCGGAACCGTTCAGATATCTAAATGATTCCACATGAGTCCAAGGTGTTGCTTGTCAGTATTGCTGTCGTCGGGGCTATCTTGCGGGTTTTCCAACCACTAGAAGGTCCAAATGCCCGATGGACTATATTCCACCGGAAGCAACTCTCAAGGGACCTCCTGAAGATCAACGACAACAGCGGCCCGGGGTGGTGATAAAAAACCCATTAAAGACACCAAGCAGCTGCCACTGGCTAGGACCCGCGAAATCCCGCGAAGCTAGGGTACATGATGCTCTTCGCCCAAGTCCATATGTTCTTCACCCTGAAGATCACGTCCCAAGCAGGAACACCCATGCCCTTCCTTCAGACATGGGTGTGTTCCCACCCGTGTCGTTCTTCCTCTCACCAAGCGTCCGCGTATTCCACGATCCGCGCCACGGCCTCCGGCGACGACTCCTCAAAGGGGCTTCGGTCAGTGAGCTCGCTGCTCCAGAGGGCTGGCTCCGGAGACTCGTAGTCCTCGAGCTGCTCCGAGCGCTCTCCGAGCGCGGAGAGAGCGGGAGCGCCGTCGGACTTGACGGGACGTCGGACGCCGAGTCCGAGCATGGGCGACATGATGGCATACCTCGTTTAGCAGCTATAAGGCTATAAGCATATGGAGTTGGGACGATCTTGGACTGAAATTGGCGTATCCCAATTTGGATGTCCTGCACGTTGCCATGATGTGCGTTGACAGTGAGGAGCAAGCAGCAAGCAGGCAGTTGGTTTCTCATGGAGGTTCTCCTAAAGGCCTGGAACTGAACGCAGGGGAATGACGCAGCCTCCAATCTCCGCATCAATGCTCCTATGAGCCTGTAAGTTGTATCATATCCATGATCATTGGGCAGTGCTCTCTTTTTGAACACACGATGGACCACTTCAAAACCGGCGTAGGAGCAAGGATGTGCAACATACAGGTTGAACAATGCTCACAACTTGTTTTGCCCTGAAAGAAGCTCATGCTTTGGGGGCATTTGATTCTTCTCAACGAAGACAGCTACCTTGTACACTTCAAAGCCACTCCTTCTCCAGCAAGGCCTGGCTTAGCCAAATTTGGTTGGTTCATCTTGGTTCCTTTTGCTTACTGGCTGCTTTCCAAGCGCCAGGCTCAAACGCTATCAAAACTGGAGTGCTCACTAGCAAAAGCCTCCTCGAAAACTCTCTAATTGAGTTGCATGATGAAGCTACTCACGTGACTTTGCCCTCGTTTTCCTTCCAACTGGTCCAAGCTCAAGAGCCCCCCTTTCAACGCGAAGATTGTCTTTCAACTTGCCCATTTGGCTGGCTGGTTGTCAGTGGCTTCACTTAGGGACCATGCTGTGCTGGGCTCAATGTTTATGAAGGGAAGAAGTCAGCATTGGTCCAAAAAGTCATCCCATGAATCATGTATGCAGTTAGTTAGCCAGTCACAAACCCCGCCTAGAAGCACATTTCAACAGCATCCAGGTTGAGTTGGAGGATGTTAGAGGCAAACATAGCAAGGCTTTGGTCAAAGAAACGCCTTCGTTTCGGGCAAACGAGGCTCCACGTTTCGGGCAGCCCAGCGGAAGTCGTAGTGTTCGTGGTCTTGATGGAAGATGTACTTCGAGAGGTGCGAAGGCATGAAGATCGGCATGTTCATGCCTTAGTCCATTTTGGACGATCCAAACCGACTGAACAGCGGTCTGCCTCCGGAAAAGCATGAAGTTGCAAACAGTTGAAGGCGGCAAAACGGACCAACAGCTGCGATACCTACTACCCATGATTGGGATCCGTATGCATCCAAAGAAAGCTCACATCCAACTAGTGGACGGGAACATCACCTTTATCCCATGTCCTTCGGTGTCCATGTATTCAAGATATACTTTATCAAAGTCCTTCTTCAAGAGTCATTCCCAGCATAAGTGATCCGATTGCAACATGAAACGTTTGCAACATGACTGCCCAAAAATACGTATGTTGCATCCATGTACGTATGACTATCCATATCGTTTCGCAGAAAAACATCCAACGTCCAGTCCTTTGGATGTGATGAAATGTTGACTCTAAGAAGACGTCAAAACATATATTACAACTATAGTATCTATACATGACTCGATGTATGTTAAATCCAACGTCCAGTCCTTTGGATGGAACCTGAGCTCTTTTGCCAGCATCCGTCTAAGACGTGTCTAAGACGTGATCGTGATCCGTCCAAGGGGCCATAAAACTCATAGAAGGTGATGAGATCCATGTCGTAGGGCCACAACGCCACGGCTCGGAACTGCGCAAAGGTGCTGAACTTCTTATCCTTGGAGCGTCTGGCTGGCCGTCGGTGGACCATGGGAGTGGAAGGGCTTCAAGGGGGGGAGACAAAGGAGAGACATGGGTGTCTGTAGTTGCGTGCGACACCCGGTTTTGGATGGTTTGTGGTGTATTTACCATACATGTTCCTTCTTCGGTCGAGCTGGGAGGTCTCCCTTCACACCCACATGGCATGGGTCAGGGGATACGGTCTTTCTTCTCTCTTGAAATGGTTCCCTCAATGACTCAAGTAGTGGTGACTCAAGTATACTAAGGATACCTCTACCATGAGCTCTACATCACCAGCGCGTCGCATTTCTGTCAAACTGGGTGGATGGATGGAAAGGACGATTCCCAAACCGCCCGGCCCGCAGGAGCCGTCCGTTGACGTCAAACACGGTGACCAGGGACTAAACTCGAATTGGCGCTTGAGGTGCTCATGACTTGAGGATGATATACTTGAGGGATTTGAGTTGGAGCTCACTTCAGCTATGGCGCCCAAGCCATCCTATGTAATTAAGCCATCTAGCAATCTCCAACCAAAAACATCCAAAAACCATGGGCAGTATCAAAGGTGTTCAAAAGGCTTCAAGCTTCGTGCCCCACATTTTGATGCCCCCCCAATCTGGGCCCAACCTCGCGCGTTTGGCCCAGGGTTCCGTCAGCTGCCGCGTCAGGAAGCGAAAGGGATACGTGGCACTGCCCGCCGCGCGTAAGCGACCGTCGCTGGTGCGCCAGTCCAAGGGCTCACCCAGCAACCTAGGCCGGTGGATGTCGCTGAGCTGGTGGATTTCTTCGGACCAAAAAGGCAGAACTGACAACAATGACCACTGGCGGGCCTGGCCACCGGGGTTAGCACGGGGCCGTGTGGAGTAGCTGGGATGGGGAAATCACTTCAAGGGTGATTCACTGACTGGGTAGGTAGGAGGAGGGGAAGCAGCACGACAATGAGGCTGATATGATGAGGGGACTGGCTTTGGACGCACGAGCCCAGGGAAGCTACGAGTCTACCAAATACCACTGCTTGCCTCTCGACATCGTTGGTGAAAGTCATCGGATAGAAAGTCCAATCAGCCGTTTTTTGCCTTGTCCAATTACCGCTGCATGTCGCAATGTAGCTTCCAACACTTTGTATTAGGCATGCAGAGCACTGTTTTCATCCAATTGCAGGAAACTGGGTTTTAGAAAGGCCAGCACCTGCGTGTGGCACTGTGGTACTGATACCCAACACGCCGGTGCAAACCAAACCTACCCGCAAACTCTGAACATCATAAGGAGATGGGATGAGAGAGCCAAAATCATCACTCACCATGAAGGAACAAACTCGAACTCTTCCGTGGCAAAGGCATAGAGGACATCCTTCCAGGAAAGCTATAGGACCTAACTATCATCAATCATGCAAGCCAAGGTCCAAATCACTTGGACTGCTTCTTTTCCCTTTTTGACTCGTTTTGAGCCCCTTCGGCGCCCCCCCAAACTACTGACCCATTCCCGGCTGAGCGCCCCCACAGGTGGCCCAGGTGGCCTACACGCCCTATCCCCACCCCACCCATTCGGCTCAGCTACCGCTGCAGCGTACACATGAGAATCGCCTCATGCGGCCGATCCAAGACCAAAATCTCCTCCGGTCGCTGGGGCATGTGCGTCGCGCCCGTGTAGAGCGCGTGCGTCCGCAGCACCGTCAAGCGACGGCCCAGCTGGTACTCATATTGCATCCTGGGACATGGTTTGCCCGGGTGGGTGGGCTGGGAAGGAGTTAGGCTGACAGGGCTCTATGCTACCATGTTGGGGGTATCCCCGCCATTTAGTTATATGGGTGTAGATGGAAGAGTGAAGGCCGTGTCAGGAGCAAACCCAGCCAGTTGAAAACGATATTGAAAAACACGTGATGACCACTGAGTTGAAATCCTGGGTGGCCAACTAAGTGATCCAACTGTTTTTGTTCTTTGCTTTTAAAAGAAAACTTGAGGATTGAACGATCAGATCTGATTGTCCCCTTTTCAGGGACCACAAAATCGGTGCCACTTTGATTGAACGAAGAAGTACCGTATGTTCGGGCCACCGTTTTATTCGATCCTTCTTCTCAAGTCTTGGGATGTGAAGGCAAGACTTAACAGTCTTAACACGGTCACCTTGAAGCAAGGAATTGAGAGGCTTGGATTTCATGTACATTTAGTCATGCTGCATCATGATTATGCATATACATATACATACAATCATACTACCCTCGGCTTCCAAGACCATTAAAAAAATGGTTGACCTGGTTTTTGTGGTGTAACATCCTTAGTTGATTGGGTAAAGCCTATTAAGTTAATGGTTGTTGGAAGCCTAGGGCTAATTTCTCCTTCCCTCAGGAATTCCAATGACCCGCCCCGTCCCAGTTCACCGCTTCGACGACGTCGGCTGCCCCGTCCCAGCTCCGGTCCAACCCCCCCCCGGAGTCGGTCGGACCGTGGACCGTGTGATGGACCGGGGGCGGATCGAGGGCTGCAGCTGAGGCGCTGCAGGAAGGGATCACTCACTGCAAAGGCCACTCCACTCTTCGCCTCCTTAGGTGAGCAGGCCCCGAACTTGAAGGGGTGAGCTGTTGGGATCGGCTTGGATTGGGGGATCTGGGAGCATCGAACAGCAAAGACTGGGTCCTAGGGTTGGCATGACCATAGTTCTCGACTGCAATGGAACTTGCAGGATGCTCAGGTTCCCAGAGCCCTGGCTTAAACCAGCAGCTACAAATGGAATTGCTTTTATAGTCCCATCCAATGAGTGGACCGTGGGCACTCTTGCCCTCCAGATTCGGCACCTGTTTTCTTCTCTTTCACTGCCCTAAGAATCCGGCCCCCTGCCATGGGAGGGTCCGGACCCCTGCCATGGACAGCCCAAGGATTCTTAGGGTAGGTTGATTTTGAACTTCATCTCTGGCTGGAAGAGCCCCAACCTCCCTGGGGAGTGGTGCATCGGCGGCCATTCATCTAGATTCATAGGCTGAAGGGGAGGCCAGTTTCTGAAGGGCCCCCAGTCAGTGCACCTCGCAACTTGTTGTACATGATCATCAATTCTCTTACTCTAACTCTGGATCACATGAACGGCCCCCAAAAAAAAACATGCACTTCACGTAAATAAGATCTAATAAGATATGATGATATGATCGTCAATCCTTTCTCCGCCACCCACTTTGGCAGGCACCCTCCATGAGGCCCCACTTAATTACTTCCCACATGCAGCAAGATGCCATGTCGGCAAAGCGTTTCCAGAACTTCTCTCGGAGCTCTTCCTCCTCATGTGGCATCAACTGAGCATCATTGGTGTGATGTTTTGGATGTTTTGAGGGTCAGTATGGGTAGATCTTCCATACATGGATGGTCTGGGAATCACCTGCCTCCCAAATTGGAGCGACTCCTTTCCGGCGCTTGGCTACGTTGTTGATTCCATCCCTCCTCATGGTGAAGGTTCCAGTGGCGTATGGCCTCTGAGTTGACCTATAGGTGCACTTGACCCTCACCTGAAGCCATGCCCAGCCTCAGGAACCATGAAGAGCAATGGATGCCCAAAGTATCCAATCCTCAGGAAAACACTTCGAGAATTGCCAGGGGCGTCTGGATGCCCACACGTTCCAACCAGAAGGGGGACTGAAAAGCAGCCCAAATCCCTGACACACCCAACACCTCTTTTTTCGTGCCATGTCAGGTCTTGGCCCTTTGACGTCGGGGTGCGGGCCTGAACACGCCCTGAACGTCTGAGGGGGCGTAAACGATATTGGTCAACACCTCTTGTCTGACACTTGGGGCCCTGGAAGAGGACAGGTCCTGCCATCTGATGTCATCTGATATAGGAAGAGTCGCCACAAGATGAAAGTGTCGTCCCACCGACGGGACCGATGCCCGGTCCCGTCAGTTGCCACTTGGTTCACTGCAGTTCAACCTGCGAACAAATTTGGAACATCCTACAATCCAATATGAATTGTGTGTGGGTACTGGCCTAAATCTTATATAATGTAGTGATCCCAAAATGGATGATAGAAATGCGCATCCCAACTTGAACAAAACATTTAAACACACACACATTGACAGGGAAACACATATACACATATCCGCCGACCCCACACCGTGGGGTGAGGCGTGACTGTCG